TGGACCAAATTAAACTGATGTTTTGGTTCCAACATGCAGATTGTTTTGGGTCTTGAAGCAACCGAAGCAGCATGGTTATTTTTGGCCCACAATCCCATTCTCCCCTCTGCCTCCTGTGGGTGGGAGTGAGAGGTGGGACATGAGCCACACTTTGTGTCAGGGGTTCATTTGTGTCTAGGCCCCAATTCCTATAGAATCCTCTCTGCCTTATTTTCTTCCTTACTCACAGATTTTTTTTAAGTCAAATCCTTACTGTGATGGTATTTTACAACTAGCTGTATGTGTATGTTAACATGTAATTGTTGTGTGTATGTGCATACATGTTTACAGATAACATGTTTATCCACTCACCTTAGCTTTTGAGTTGATTTGCTTAAAGAGCAACCTCTAAACCTGCTATGTGAACGTGTTGAAGTGCTCTGCCTTCTGTCTCTGCTGTACTCGTTCATTCAAGAATTCCAAATGAAGGGAAGAGCAGCCACATACTTCACATTCATTCATAAATAGAGTCACCAGCCTTGTTGCAGACTCCTTTTTTTTCTCAGCTGAGGATGTTATACTGGAAAATATCTAAGTTTTTTGTGACATTACCGTTTTGCAAAAAGTCAGTACTAGATTTGGTCTCTAAGATAATTGGGTTACTTTTTTCCTTAATGGTCTGGAATATAGCAGATCAGATGCAAATACCTAATATGATTTGTTAAAATTAACCCAACAGTGATCGTATTGATACTCTGTGTGTGTGTTTGTATATACATGTCCAAGTCTGAACAGTGATAGCATGATCTTGGTTTGAGAAGAAAGTAAATGTATGTTTAGAAACAAAACAAGTTGGGAGAATACAGAAAACTTTGTTTGGTACTTGACATTTATATTACATAAACAAAAAATCCTCCATGACTGGTTGTCAAAAAACAAAAATAAAAAAACTTGGACTTTCTAAGTAGTAGGTAATATATCATTGTGATATATAGTATATAATATTTCACAGGCAATATGGCTTTTTTATTTTATTAAAATATATATAAATTATATATGTATATCTTCTTTATTTTGCCTACAAACTTTTCTTCATGACATGTTACTTTTATTTTTAATGCTTTTTTACTTTGACTCGTCTTATTCATAAATTCTAACTTCCTTAACTGCTTTTTTATGGACTGTATACATATTTTTTACTTTAAACCCAGATTGGTAATATCACAGATATTCTAGTTTTTCTTTCATGTCTATAAGCTATCTCATAATTGGTTCTTTAAAAAATGTCTAAGAGTTAAATGAGGGGCAGCCCTTCAAAGTGGTGATTTGTAAGTACACATTCATGAGATCTTTGAATTTTTAAAAACATTTTTAGAGAGAGTTATCAAAGAATTACAGGCTACTTTAAGAAACAGAACCTGGAAATTTTTGTTTATACACATCCCATGTAAGTCTTTGAAGAATGAAAAGTAGAAGTCAGCTTTCTTTCCCACAAGACAATCTAATTTGGATGCTGAAACTTCAAAGCTGTATGTTGAAAGTCTGATAGTGGTGGTGGCAAGAGTATTTTAACAGGAAAAGGTAATGGTTCTTGCCACAAAGATATTAGGCAAAGGTGTGGGACACACAGCCTGTTTACCTCTCAGCATCAGGATCTAGATCTTACCCCATTAAAACCTATTGGCAGGAAAGAACCAGAAACTCTTTGCAGAAGAAATAATTGCCAGGCATTCTCATGCTTTATTTTTAGATCAGGAATGAAAGTCCTTTTTGTAGGTGGATGAGTCCTATAGTTTGGTTCTAGTTGTGGCTTCTGGAGGTTCCATCCTGGTTTTCTTGAAGATTTGAAACAAGCCCTTTTCTTTCCCAGAACATCTCCCGGTGTGGGTGGCTCAGCCAGGCACCAGCATCTTTATTCCATTTTCAAGGATCTTGGGCCTATCCTTGGTCTTGTCTTGCCCAGTTGACAACAGTTGTCTGCATACTTCACTATAGCAAGGTTACAGAGCAAGCTGAGCATGCATTCTCTGTCCATACTGTCACGGGACCAGGGACAGGGTTTTAAGGTCTTCATGTGGCCAGAGCTCTGGATGCCTTGCCTGAGGACATTAAGATGCATTGAAATATGAAATCTTTAAAGAAAGGAGAAATAGTGTTGATATACCATACTGCACAAGGCAAGAAACTGCTGTGATCTTTAGGTTTTGGTTCCGTAAAGTGCATTCACTTCCCCCTGTACAATTTGTTGATTATAGTCTTTCTTCAGTTCTCCCTTAAAGCCCATTTTGTCAAGTAAGGCCATGAGTCAGAAACCACCTGACTGTGTTATACCATGCCTGTAAGAGCCCTCTCCACTCTGTGTTTGGTGTATTCCTAGAGTCTGGCATGTAGTAGACAATCATTTGTTGAGTGAAGGAATGAAAATAATGGTATTTGTGAATATTTTGAATGCTGCTAAATACTCTGAGAGGTGGCATTTGTGTGGCACAGATGCCACAGCTCATCTGCTTCTATACCCTTCTTCTGGGCTTTCTTAGAGTTGTTCTCTAAGCAGTCTTCCTGGTGAACTGGATTATCTGAATTGGCATATGGTTTGAAATCTGCTTGCCCTTCTAATCTAGCAGGAAAAGGGATAGCCTTTTGGAAGTTTACATTCTTGTATTAACCTTTAGACATACTCTATAAACTCTTTGTGTCTTAGATTTTTGCCAGTCTGATATAAGTTGTCAGATGGTAAGATGTCGTTTCTTAACCAGGCATGATAGCACTTGTTTATAATCCCAGCACTCTGGGAGGCTGAGGCAGGAAGATCAAAAGTTTGAGCCTAACCTGGGCAACATGTGATTTAGTGAGACCCTGACCTATCTCAAAATAAAAAATAAAAAGGGCTATGAATGTGGCTGAGTGTGAAGGTCCTAGGTTCAATCCGCAGTACCACCAATAAAAATAAATAAATTCTTTTATAAGGGCAAAGTAATAAGCATTAAAAAATAAGTAAAGGTTTTCCAAATATACTGTGTAATTACAACCTTATGGTTTGATAAGGTTGTGATCATCGTGTGATCAGTCTTTTCTATAGAGACTAAAATGTTTTATTTTATATAAGATATAAGTGCTTGATATATAAAGGTATGTATGTTAAACATAAAGGTATGTACAAAAATATAAGGTTTTATATATAGGTAAATACAAGTTTTAATTGCATAGGTTTACCGTATATGTATCTGAGCCTTTTTATCTCAGAGGCTCTAATTTTCTTTCAGAACTAAATTGATTTCTTTTTTTCCATTTGACATTAACTTGATGTCTGTTTTGCTCTCGAGGAATCTATTTTAAGGAGATAAAATATAAAATGCCAAGAAGATGCTGGTTTGTAGTTTAGTATTACTCTGTGCACAGATGCATCGTCCGTGGTAGGAATACCTGGTGGTGTTAAATTTCAGTTTCCTGCTTTAACATCTTACTGACTCAGACTTTCAGGCCTGGAAATGCTAATTTTGAAGTTATCACTTTGCATTTTAACTAAGCTCCGAAGGTGTTAGAACCAGGTCCCATATACTACCTAGTGTACAGTGTAATAGGTTACTAATACATTTTGAACATGGTCTATTAAAGGTGGTTCACTCCAGTGACGTTTTTGGTATCACTTAAGTATAAAGATGTCATCAGAGAACCTATCACTGCCAGCACTGTACGATAAAAGGTGATGATATTGATTGTGGCTAAAGTTGAAAGAGTCTATGACCTTTTTAACTGGAACACAGAGAATCAACAAAGGAGCATTGTTCTCTGAGACTTTAAGCACACTGTCCTTCAGAGAAAAACTCTTTCACCATGACGGACACAGTCACAAAGGAGCTAGGCAAGGGGTCTGATCACCTTGGTTCAGCAGCGGATGGTGAGCCTGTAGTTGAGTACTCAGGAGAACTCCAGCAGGGGAGATTGGCAGTGCCCTCAACCTGCCAGGACTTCCTCCAAGGGAGATGCAGGGAGCAAATGTGCTCTAAGCAGGAGGGCAGGACCAATAATAGTGTTTTAAGGGTTAATATTAGCGAATGTGTAGGATGTGTTGCTCATCAAAGTTCAGTGCTTTGTATGAGCTCAAATCAGCTGAAAGCAGGAACAATGCTGGGTGTGCATGAGAAAGCATTTCAGTGCTGACTCTAACTCTGGACTGGGCTTCTGAGGAAGCTCACAAGTTTCTGCCCCTACTCATAGCAGAGCTTCAGATCTGTTCCTTCAGATCTCCTTTGACCCCTTTATGGTTCTTAAAGCTTCCACCCCACAATTTCACCTCCAGATTATTACTGTTTTTTATCATTTGTTGGATGTTAGATCCATCTCACCAAGTATAAAGTGAGGTTCTCCTTGAGGGTGGTGTCACCCCTCTCCTCTGGTGCTTGGAAGTGTTTGGGGACATTTGTGATGGCCGTGATGATGATAGGTTTGTATACATTAGCATTTAATGCCCTGAAGGTGTGCATCACTAAGTCCTACACAGTGAAGGATTGTCTGGTCCAGAATGCTCATGGTACCTCCAGTGAGAAACACTGGAGCTCTTAAGGTCTGTCTGTGTCTTATCCAGTTCCCCTTTCATAATAGAACAGACATTTAATACATGAACTGTATGTATGGCTTATTGGATATAGTACAAGCCTTATTTACAAGGGAAATAAACAAATGGGTAAAATTATTTTCCTGGATGACTTTTATGCTCTGATAGTGATGGTATCACTTCTCTTGGACTGTGTCTTACAGCTTCAGCCTTCCTAGTGGTGAAATTAGACATGAGTTATGATCCAGGGAATAATCTTGGCTTATTATAGTCCCATCAGGAAACAGCTTATATTTTAAAAAATACTACAGCATTTTGTTCCACTGAAACAGTGGTTCTGCAAAGATAAACAGGCTAATCCTGTGTAAATTGGTGTTAGCATCATGAAATGGGGTACAGACCAAGAACCCCCATGTTTTAATATCCAGGTAATTGCCCCTCATCTACGTGGGTTTGTATTTTGCAGGCACATGTTTCAGACTCCCAAACCTTTTGGAGGAAGTTACTTTGCTCAGGGACCAGAAAACTGTGGAGGAGAAAAAAGGCTTGAACTAAAGATTAAACAAGGTCAGTAGAAAGTACGGGGATATTTTTTAATGCACTTGTCATTCAGTTGGAGACAAGACAGATAAAAATTGAGGAAAAAGACAGAATATAGATGTTACATCAAGCCATATAGCCCACCAAACTAAAATGTCTATAGAATTTGAGTAGTTTGAAAACGTAAGTACGAACAGCAGAGGCAATGGTAAGATTCAGCCAAGGTAGGTTGAGAGAAACGCAAATGCTGACATGACTTAGGGTTTTTTTTTTCCCTTAAGAGGTGTCTTATGACCAAATGTGAGACAATGTGTTGACCCTTTGACTGGTGAGCTTATTTCTAGGAGTGATGTCTAAGGAAATGCTTAGAAATACCTACAGGTTTAGCTGTGAGGATGCACCATGAGCACTGTTTGAACCTAGTTGGCTCCCAAAATATATCATAGTTTGTCTGTGTAATTGAATATTTCGTAACCATGACAGTGATGTTGTACAAGAGCATTGGCATGAGACAAAATGTATGAAAAATATGCTGTAATAAAACATATGAGGTGAACATTTCGGTAAAGAAACCACATGAACATGAGAAGGAGAGGTAAAGGCATTAATCAGAATGTTTGCTTGACTTATCTTTGAGTGGTAGAATTTCAGGTAATGTTTTCCTTAGGATTTAATGCAGTGTTTTGCATGAGTATATATAACTGTTTTGTAACTCACCCATTTAATGCACTAAATAAAACATAATCTAATGTATTAAAAGATGCCTTGTCAACTTTTTACTTTATTCTTGATAAATCTAGTCCTTTTATAGCAAAATAATATTAAAACTAAACACTTTAAATTTAAACATCCCCATTAGTTCTGAGGAACTATTATTAGTCCCTCACATCCTGTTCTCAATTAGTTGATCCTTAACACAAGGAAGTGAGTGCTGTGATTACAAAGATAGTAGGAGTGGGAAAAGGATGTGGGTCAATTAAAGGGTGGGAAGAAGGAAGACAGGTAAGTGACACATGCAACAAAGTATTACTGACTGCATTTGCTTAGTTTGAAACTCTGCCTGGGAAATTCCCTAATGTAATGCTTGCACATGTCTCTCATTGCGTGCTTCTGGGAACAACCATTAATCTTTTGCCTGGCTTTCTTGCCAAAAAAGAAGTGAATGGAGGTGTGAGAGCATCTCAGAAACTAACTCCATCTTTCACAGTTTGGGTTTCCAGCCTAAGGTGAGGTGCGTGGAGCCGTAAATCTGTGCATCAGTGAATCAGCTCATTTAGAATTTAGGTCTTTCTTTGAGGGAGTAGCTGCAATAGCATTTCTGGGCGTATACTCTGTAGGACATTAAGCTTCTGAGACACTTCCTCAGGGAGAACACATAAGATGTAGGGTGGGGCAGGTCTGTGAAAGGAGACAGATCCCTGTGTTCACGTTAAGGCTGAGCAAGTTTTGCCTTAAAGATATGTTTTGAATTTCGGTTAACCCCAGTCTGCTGAATTTAGTTAGTTAGGAATTTTTTTTGTGGGGGTGGGGCGCGCCAGGCATGGTGGTGCATGCATAAAATCCCAGCATTTGGGAGACTGAGGCAAGAGGATTGCTGCAAGGTCAAGGCCAGCCTCAGCTACACAGTGAGTTCAAGACTATCCTGAACTCCATAGCAAGAACCTGTCTCAAAAATCCAAAAGTATTTTTTAAAAAATGAAAAACTTTTCTTTGTAAGGTCTTCATTCTAGCTGGAATGATGTATAAGGGAGGCATTCAGGGAAAACTGAGACCTTCTCACCCATGTGAAAATGGACCTAGGTGTATAAAGTAAGAGGAATCTTATAACTTGGTGATTGGAAACCTTGAAAATTGATACAGGGTAGGATTTTGTTTTTGTTAAAAAAATCTCAAATGATAAAGTTTGGGAAGAAATACATAGAAATGTTAGTGCCTTCTCTCTTTAGATTTCCTTCAGTGAATATATATTGCTGTATAAAGTGTACCTTCTCCAAAAGTATCAGTAATAAAACAGTGGGCGTTTGGGATTTCCAACCTATTTCCTCTTGGAAAGAACAGGTTAAGGCAGTTTGTATCCTAATCTGCACCCACGGTCTCTGGCTGCCAGGTCTGGCTGCTGGCTACCTGCTTCACATGCAGGAAGGAGGAGTCCTGGGGAACAGAGTGATTGTAAGCCGCCATCATTCCTTGCACACCCCCGGCCTGGAGACCCGGAGTCAACAGTGTGCCTGGGCCCACTGGGCACCCGGAGCGGGAGCCCAAGTGGAGAGCTGGGGTCTGCTGTGTCACCCTCTTTGGCTGCTGTGATTCTGTTGTGGCTGTAACACAGAGGCAGCTCCCTTTAACCCGTTAAGACTTGATTTCTTAAACTCCATTGTGGAACCCCAAACTTGATACCAGACATGTAGAAAGGTGATGTTAGGAAGAAATATTTTCAATAAAATTGTTTGGGCTTCTGACTAACCAACAAAACAAATAAACCAAAGCAAACCAATCATACCATAAACTCTTGAGAACAATAATCCTAATCTCTTAAAGATGTCCGTCTATAAGTGTGGAAAGTCCATAGAATTGGTATAAGTGCAGAAAATCCATAAAAGTGTGGTATAAGAAATCTGAAGACAGCGCATCTTTTGTTGACTTGAGCAACAGCATTGGCAGTGTACTCTGAGAAGTGGTCAGGCTTGTCTGTCTTGTTTGGCTTAGGACCTTAGGCTTTCTTCTTGCTGCTGTGCAGCCTCTATCTTCATGTCTAAAAGCTCCCTCAAATCCCCCTCAGGACCTGGTGAGAGAAAAGGGTCTAAGAAAAAGCTTTTAGGCAGGGATGAAAAAGTAAGCTTGATTGAGTTCTGTAGTTATGAAGAAGCTGACCAGTTTTCATCAAATGAGACCCATCTGAGAAAGGAATTAAATGATCCATGAAAGTAAAGTTTTAGCTAAAACTTCCCCTGAAGACCCCTAGTAAAACAAAGCTGAACACATCATCTGCAAGGTAATTTCAGGTAAGACAGTAGACTTTTCACTGCCACTTCATGTCTTTAACTACACTGATTTGGTTCCAGTCACAAATGTGGGGAAATAAGATAAAACACAATGATTGGTAAGCTTTGTATTTTCTGTCTGATGAGAATAAATTGTAGAGTCACTTAATTTTGCAGATGGGATGAACATTTAAAGTTAAGTTGTGTAATCATCTGCCAAGAGAGGGGAAGAGATCTGTTGAGCTTATGTGTAGTTATTTACAGAATCCAGGGCTCCAAATGTTTTTGTTGAATATTTGAGCAAAGATTAGCGATAGCAAGAATGCTTATAATTTCATAGAAGCTAACTTCAAGGTCGTGTCTACACTCACAATAGTAAAGGGATGGAAAAAAACAGGAAAATTATTCTTCCCAAGTGATCTTTTTACCAACAAATGAAACAAACCCTTTCTTTGCATACTGTGGTACTCCAAAATGTCCCTTCTTACAGTTTTGATACATTTTAAGATGACTTTTGCTGTTTTTAATACAGAATATTATTCATTTAGAAATACCTACTTGCCTATGATGAGCTGTTCTAGTTGTTATGGATACAAAAGTAAATAAAAAAGACATGAAAACATGTCATTTTGCCAGCTTGGTATCTTTTGCCTTTTCTTTTTTTATATGTATATATTTGTATATTTTATACTTTTAATAATATTTATGTATCCCACTTTCCTCATTTTGTGTGAAAATATTTTTAATGGCTGCATATTCTCCTACCATATGGATATCTCACAAATGGTGTTCTTACATCATTTCTGTGTTAAGCAATTAGGTAATTTTGCATTTTAGTAGTGCAAACAGTTATAAACATTGGTGTGTAAAATTTTGGCCTCATTTCTGAATACTTTCTTCAGATAGATTGAAACTGGAACTGGCCAAGCAGTACGAACATTTTCAGACTCTTGATGGATAATGATAAATTGCATTGGCCCTCCATGGAGGTAGTTATTTCATTTTATTATCATTAGCATTGGATGTTTTAAGTGCTAATTTAATAGAAAAAATATTGCATTGGTTTAGTTTACATTTCTTTGAATATTAGATGGCATTGAGTCCATATTCCTTTACATGTCCATTTATTAAGCCATTCCTACTATGCCAAGGAGTGTACTTTAAATTCTTCGCAATTATACAGATGATTTAGATAAATGCATTTCATAACAAATTAAGTGTTACAGATAAAGCTCCCCTTGGTTCTCTTTTCCTTCACTCCCTTTCCCTCTATACAGGTAGCCATTTTTCTTTCTTATCAGTTGGATATGTCTTTGTAAACCCCTTTGCAGTATTTACATGTGTGCACATGGAGGTAGAATATGTGGGCTTTTAGGGACTTAAAAACATACGTACACATATCTGTATCTATTTTGGGGGCAGATTTTTGGTTTAAAATGTTTTAAATTTATCATAGAAGTCTTTCTCTAATATATGCAACTTCTTTTTATAGTGCTAGGCCTGGAACCCAGGCTCTCAAACCTGCTAGGCAAAATTGTACACTGAACTATACCCTGGCCCTCTTTTTTTTGTTTTTAGGCATTTCTATTTTATTTAATTATGTTTAAATATACATATTTTATGAAATTTTTCTATTTAAGCTTGTTTTCTTTATATATGTATGTTCTCTTTTATAATAATGAATTGATAATAAATTTTGAAGATTCTTAAAAGAGCAAAATACTATACGTTAACAATTGATGATTCAAATAAGGTTAGAGAAAGGTCAGAGGCATCTTGTTTCTCACTTTTTTAAACTTACAAAACTTTTGTAACTGTCAAACATTTGTTAATTGGCTTTTTAGAGAGTTTTCAGCTAGTATTCATGAGTACCTTTTCAGTTACAAACTGAAAAATCAGAACTAATAGATACTGCTATTTATTAAAGTAAAAAAAAAAAAAACAACCTAGATATGCCTGTAATCTCAGCTAGTCAGGAGGCTGAGGCACGAGGATCACAAATTCAAGGTCAGCCTGGCCAATTGAGTGAAACCGTGTCTCAAAAAA